GGTGCTGTGGTGTAGTGGGTAAAACCTCAGCCTGGGCAGTGCTGGCATCCCATATGGGCACACTAGTTCAAGTCCTGGCTACTCCACTTTGGATCCAGCTCTCTGCTATGGCCTGGGAAAGCAGTAGAAAATGGCTCAGGTGGTTGGGCCCCTGCACTCTCATGGGAGACCTGGAAGAAGTTCCTGGCTCCTGGCTTCGGACTGGCCCTCCTCTGGCCGTTGTGGCCACTTGGGGAGTGAACTAGCAGATGCAGGATCTCTCTGTCTCTGCCTCTTCCTCTCTGTAGCCCTGCTTTTCAAATAAATAGTCTTTAAAAAAAAACTTGAAAAAATACACTTTAGAACCGTTTTGTGATCACAGCAAAGTTGAAAGGGAAGTACAGACTTCCTCTGTCACCAGTTGTTGGAATCAGTAACTTACCTAGACAGATTGTTGTTAATCACTCAGATTCTTGGTGTTAACACGCCCTAAGTGTTTTTTTTTTTTTTTTTTAAGGTTTATTTATTTCAAAGGCAGTGTGATAGATAGGGAAAGAGAAAAAGATCTTCTATCTGCTGGTTCACTCCCTAAATGGCTACAACATCCATGGGCTAGAAGCCAGGAGCCCAGAATGCCATCTGGCTCTCCCACAAGGGAGGCAGGGGCCCAAGCATTTGAGCTGTTCTTAGCTCCTTTTCTTGGCATATTAGCAGGGAACTGAATTGGAAGTGGAGCAACCAGAACTTGAACCTCTGCTCTTGTTGGGTTGCTGGTGATACAGTTGGTGGCTTAACCTGCTGCACAACAATGCTGCCGTCTTCTAAGGGTTTAACAAATGTATGATATGTACCTAGCATTGTATTGTGCAGAATAATTTCTTGTTAAAAATTATTTGAAAGGCAGAGGGAAACACCCACGCACCCACCCACCCCAGGCTGGTTCATTCCCCAAAAGGCACAACTGTTTGAGGTTTGGCCAGGTTGAAGCCAGGAGCCAGTACGGATGTAGGCACCCTGAGCGGCATCTTAGCTGCTAAGCCTGTACCGCATGGAGAATAACTTCACTGCCCCAAAAATCTGTGCTCAAGGTCAGTATCGTGGTACAGTGGGTTAAGCTGCTATCTACCATGCCTGTATTCCATATGGGTGCTGATTTCAGTCCAACTCCGCCCTTGTAAACATGTCTGAGAAAGCAGAGGAATGTGGCCCAAGTATTTGGTCCCCTGCCACATGGGAGGGAAACCCAGATGGAGTTTTGGCTCCTGACATTGTAGCCATTTAGGGAGTGAACCAGCATATGGAGGAACTCTTATCCCTGTGTCTCTGAAACTGCTTTCTAAACAAACAAGCTTACTTCAGTGCTGTAGCCTATTCTCTCTGCTCCCCACGCCCCTAATTTGGCAACAAGTAATCTTTTATTTTTTAAGATGTATTTATTTATTTATTTTGAAAGAGTTACACAGAGAGAGGAGAGGGAGAGGTAGAGAGTCTTCCATCCGCTGGTTCATTCCCTAGTTGGCTGCAATGGCCGGAGCTGTGCCAATCCAAAGCCAGGAGCCAGGAGCTTCCTTTGGATCTCCCACACAGGTCTAGGGGCCCAAGGACTTGGTCTATCTTCTACTGCTTTCCCAGGCCATAGCAAAGAGCTGGATCGGAAGTGGAGCAGCCGGGACTCGAACTGGCCACCCATATGGGATGCAACACTGCGCCTGGTGGCTTTACCTGCTATGCTGCACCGCTGGCCCCAACCAGTAGTCTTTTTACTGTCTTCTGCATACCTTTGCTTTTTGCAGAGAGCCATAATCATAGTATTGTAGATTTTCCAGATTGGCTTCTTAATATATTTTTCTCCATTTCATGGTTGATTTTTTTTGTTTTGTTTTTGCTTTTTTAGCACTGGATAAACAATCCGTTGTCTTCATATACGACAGTTTATTTACCTCCTGAGGAATATCCTTGGATGTTTTCACATTTTGACAAATATTAGTAAAGCTTCTATAACCATCTGTGTGCATCTCTTTTGAGAGCTAGAGAGGTAGCTCCCATTTGCTGACTCACTCCTCAAATGCCTGCAGCGGCCTTTACTGGACTAGGCCAAAACTGGAAATACAATCCAGTTCTCCCATGTGGATGCTAGGGATGCAATTATTTTAACTGTCACCTGCTACCTCCCAGGGTGTGTTGTGGCAAGACGCTGAAATTGAGATCTGGGTAAATATCAAGGAGTGTGATTGTTGGATTGTATAAGAGTATGTTTAGTTTTGTAAGAAAATGCCAAACCATCTTTCACAGTCACTGTCCCATTTTGCATTTCCACCACTGTGAGTGAGAGTTTCTGTTGGCATCATATCCTTGTTGGCATTTGGTGGTATCAGTGTTGTAAATTTTGGTCATTCTGATAGTGTGTCATGATAGCTTGTTTTAATGTTCAGTGCTCAAATGGTGTAAGATACTGAATATCTGTTTATGTGCCTGTTTACCATTTTTATGTCTTCCTGGGTGAGGTCTCTCTTTGGGACTTTTGCCTGTTCGGCCTTGGTTTATGTTATTGTTGAGCTTCAAGTATTCTTTGTATATTTTGAGCAGCAGTCTTTATTGGCCATGTCTGTTGCAAATGTTTTCCACTGATGCATGACTTGTGGTCTCATTCTTTTGATAAACTGTTTCTTGAAGGTGAACTCATCAAATAGTGTAAAAATGACAGTATATAGCTTTGTGAATTTTATTATATATTAATGGCTTTTTTGTGCAGTTTATAAAGTTCTTTAATCAGTGATGTTAAGCATTTTTCTTAATGATTAAAAGCTGTTTCTTTTTCTGTGAACTGTCAGTTCATGTCTTCATTGGTTTTCATGTGAACTGCTGATCTTTGTTTTTTCACTGAGAGTCTTCAAAAATTGGAAGTCACTCCTTTGAGATATGAGTAACACTTTACTCTGTTTTTCTTTTCAGTTTTTTGGCTTTGCTTTCAGTTAGTTTTGCTATAACAAATAATGTGAATTTCCTCAAATGAGTATGTAGGATCTCTTCCTCTTTCCCCAGCTCAAGTCACTGTCTTCCAAAAATTCTCCTAATGTCTTTCAAGACTTAAGTAAATATCTCATGTTCGATTTGTGTCTTTTGTATATATTTATCTTAGCATTTAATCACACTTGTTTTTAGCATTTATCTAACTTATTTTTCAATTGACTCTAAACTTCCTGAGGATTAGAGCTGTTTTATTCATCTTTGTGTAGTGCTTGGAGCATGGTAAATTTGTAATGATAGTGGTGATTGATATAGATGATTGCTTCTTGAATTGTGATGCCTTTGGCTTTACAGCCACTGCTATTTAATTATTTTTAATATTTATATATTTGAGAGATAGAGGAACCAGGAGACAAAGAGAGAGAAGTTCTCCAGTGTACTTCCTAAATCCCCCTTTACACTGGGCTAGGGCCAGAGTTAGCCAAAGCTGGGAGCCCAGAACTAAATTCAAGTCTGCCATGTCACTGACAGGTAGGAACCCAAATACTTGAGCCATTACTGCTGCCTTCTGGAGTCTGCCCCTAAAGGAAGCTGGGGTCAGGAATTGAACCTGGGCTTCCTAACCACCAGGTTAAATACCTGTCCCCATTGCTTTCTAATTTAAATACACTTTGTCATTGGTGAACCAGCCAGTCTCAGATTTACTCCTCCTATCATCCTGTCATTTTCTGCTTCCTTTGAGGATTGTTCTTGAGATTGATTTCTGAAGCCCCCTTGAGAAATAACAGGTCTTTTATGTATTTAACTTTTTTGTTTATAGTTAAGATTTGTGAGGATGTTTTGATGTAAGCAAATGATTTATCTGAATCCTTTTTCTTGATTCTTTTTGAGGGCTGTTTTCAGTCTTGTTTTCCTTTTCCATTTCTGTGTGCTTCTACAATAAGGTTTATAAAAACATACACAAAATATGTATAAAAAGTAAATTTAGTAAAGTGAACTGCACTGTACTGGTCACCAGCTTTAAGAGCTGTGTCATAGTACTTTAAGGTAAGTAAACACATTCTTAGAGTTGTACGTGTTTCTCCAGACTAATTTGGGTTAACTTACTCCCAAAGGCAAAATAATGATTCAAATACAATTTGAATTTCTCCGCAGTAAGAATTAAACCTCCTTGATGCAGTCTATTGAAAATCAGCATTTGTTAATTGAGCCAAAATGTGCCTCTGAGGAAACCTTGATAGATACAGTCACTTGCAACTTAAAGCTTTTAGTTTATAAAGATAATACTTACAGCTTTCTTACTAGCTAAAAATAATTAATTTTAAATAATAGCATAAAACCTGTAGTAGTACTAGTGAAAACTGATAAACACTGCACATCTTAAGGAGACTAAGGAAACAATTGCTGTTACTTATTTTGATTGGTCATTGGCTAGCTACTGATAGTCTTATGAAGGGACAGTGTTTTAAATTGATTTTTAAGACTTGAACACATTTTTACCAACATACCGAGTTTTCATTATCTGTTAATATTACCTATTATTACATTCATAATGCCTTTCAGTTCTTTATTCAGTATATTCAGAACATGTTTTGTTATAAGATCTCTGAAGAATTTGTTTTTCATTCAGAAATTGCCAATTATGATTATTTTATTACTGTCAGAATTGCTCTATGGCAGTATATGTTGTCAATTATGACTTTATTGTTAAAAATCGAACAGTCCAGGTTGTTTAAATGATTCCTTTTCCATTTAAACTCCTTTCTTATTGATAGTGGTTTTGAATGGGGAGTACATTCTGAGAACATCTTCATTAACTCTTAACTTCTTCCCCAAAATGTTCAGGTCACTTAATATGTGAGTGAATTATACCCATATTATGTTTTTACCTTTATTTTGCCACATGGGACATATCTGATAGATTTTTCACATTTAGTTTGTTTAAGCATTTCTTTAGCTTTTTTATTTTTTGTATAAAATGAGAATACAGTGTCTTTTATTTGGTTTGGAAGCTCAAAATTAGAATGTAATGTCTTTCTTCTTGATTTCTGTAGAGCAGGTTGTTGCCCTGGATGCTCAAAATATCGTAGCTGTATCATGTGGAGAAGCTCATACATTAGCACTAAATGACAAGGGACAGGTGTATGCTTGGGGTCTCGATTCTGATGGACAACTTGGCCTGCTAGGATCAGAGGAATGTATCAGAGTACCAAGGTAACAAAGGTGACCACAAAGAGGTCCTAAATCTTCTATAATGGATAATAATTTGTAATAAATTTGTTAATGTAAGTCATTCTGTTTATTGTGGGCATGAAACCATTGGTGCCTGGTTATTTCTCCTTTGAGTCCTTTAAAAGTTTACTAGCTAGATTCTTGATTTCTATTTGTGTTGTTATTGATTGATTGGCTATTTTTTTGTTTTCTCTGTTTTGTCCATATTCAGTAGAATTTGTGTTTATAAAGAAAGGGATGGGGAAACCTACTTTATTATCAATTTTCTCTTAAGGGGATCTATTAATTTAATAATATTGTTATATTGAGTATTCCAGCTAAATACTTATTAAATACTCACTGTATGTTTTTCTTTAACTTGTTTCTTTAGCCTTAGTTTTAATTTCAAAGTCTAACATACTTAATGTAAAAGGATTTCAGTCACTTTACACTTGTTGTTATAGCAGAAAGCATAATTTATGTTAACCGTTAACTCATTCTAGAATTTATTTCAAAATTAAAAAATAATTCCCTAGCAATGTTGTAGTCCTCCACATTTAGATAATAATAAGAACAAACATAAAAATTTTAAATAATATTGTTTATTTTAGATACCTAAATAATAGACTAACTTGTAGTCTTAAAATTCTTGCTTCTTCCAACTCCATTCTTCCGAGTAATAGTTATGCAGACAAAAAGAGCTTGGTAGGGAACCAAGGTATAGTTTTTTCTTTATGAAAAGAGTTTTATTTATTTATTTATTTTTGAAGGACAGAGAGGGAGAGACAGTGAGAGAGAGAGAATCCAACCTTCTTTCTCTGGTTCACTTAACCAAATGTCCACAGCCAGGGCTGGACCAGGCCCATATCAGGAGCCAAGGAACCCATCTACATCCTGCCCCTGCGTTTTGTTTTTAACACTGATAATATATTTTGTTCTAAGAATGAATACATAGAGCCGGCATTGTGGTATAATGGGTTAAGCCACTGCCTATAATGCCAGTATCCCATATGGGTGCCAGTTTGAGTCCTGGCTGCTTTGCTTCTGATTTAGCTACCTGTTAATGCACTGGGAAAGCAGTGAAAAATGACCCGAGTCCTTGGGCCCCTGCACCCACTTGGGAGACCCAGATGAAGCTCCTGACTTTGGTATCTGTCTGTCTGTCTGTCTCTCAACTCTGACTTTTAAATAAATAAATATTTAAAAAAAAGAAAAAACTAAAACATAATCACTAGCATAAGAAAAGGAAGTATAGGAACTGTTTGACATTTTATACTTGTTCTGTTAACAAATGATCTGTTGGAGACTTAGATGCATCATATTCATGTGTTTTCCTTATTGAACATATAACCAAATTCCACAGCACTCTCCCTTTCCCAATTTTTCCCCTTTCTTTTATTAATAACAAATATTAAGCCCAAGGGGTTGGTTTTGTGGCATTGCAGCAGGTTAAGCTGCTGCTTGTGACACCTGCATCATATTGGGGTGCCTGTTCAAATCCCAGCTACTCTACACCTCTGATCTGGTGCCCTGCGTGGAAAAGCAGCAGTTGATGATCCTAATATTTAGGCCCTTGCCCCCGTGTGGGGAGACCTTGATGGAGTTTCTAGATCCTGAATTCAGCCTGGCCCAGTCCTGGCCATTGCATCTATTTGGGGAATGAACCAGTGGATGGAAAATATTTCCTTCCCTCCTTACCTCTCCCACTCTTCTTCCTCTGCCTTTCAAATAAATAATTTTTTTAAAAAAAGCATAATTCCTATATGCTTACAATGTCTCTTAGTGATGATGTTGTCAAGTGAAGACTATTTTTCCTTAAGATAAGTAAATTGAATCACTTTAGTCATCTCAGTCTTTCTTTCAGGAAGTAAGGTAATTTGCAACTAGATGGTTATTAACTAAATAATATAAAGCATTCATAGAAAGGCAGTGATCTCACATTGACCTAACTTTGTTGCTTTTATTTCTTCCCACAAGTAATTGTTGTAAAAACAGGATTTTAAACTTAAGATCTAAAAAATTTTGTGCTTTTAGGATGGAAAGGGACTTACATGTTTGATATGCTAAGTCAGTATTCTCAAAACCATGATTCATGGCAAATTTTAGAGTTTCTCTTACTTTTGCTAGTCTCAATTTTCAAAATTTTGTTTCTGTTCACTTCTGATATAAGGGAGTTTAGTCAGTAATACATAGGCGAATAGTGAATGGGAAGAAAGGTAGTTATAAAGATAACTTTATTGTATGAGAATTTTTTTTGAAAGTTGCCCAATAATAAATTATATACTTGTGATATGATTTATTGTTTTCAACCTTGATGGGAACATAAATGAGAACTTGCGTTACTTGGTTAAAACATCCTTGTTTTTGTGTGTGCTAAGTAAGCATCTTTACTAACTGTAGTCTGTATGTTAAGGTATTTCTAAAACTGTATTAATTTTTCAGAATTTTGTGGATTGTTTTGAATTGTGATATATACATATGAGGGGTCTTTTGAAAGTTCATGTAAAATGTATATTCTGAAAAAACTGCAGGAATTCCAAAATTTGTTTACACCAGGGTAAATTTGCCTTTTGATTCCATTTTCCCCTTGAACTTTCTGAAGTACTGCCGCAGTTTACTAATATTATCTATAATGTTTATAAAAGACTACCAGTGATTTTTAGTTGTTTTTTAGATTTCATTTTACCAAATCATTTTTTAAAGATTCATTTATTAGAGAGAGAGATCTTCCATCAGCTGGTTCATTCCCCAAGTGGCTGCAAGAGCTGGAGCTGGGCAAGTCAGGAGGCAGGAGCTTCTTCTGGGTCTTGCACATGGTGCAGGGGACCAAAGACTTGGGCCATCCTCCGCTACCCTGCCAGGCACATTAGCAGGTAGCTAGATTGGAAGTGGAGCAGATGGCATCTTAACCCTCTATGCCACAATTGCTGGCCTCACCGAGTCATTTTTAGATGTAAGGTTTATGTCCTAGGTGGCTTAAAGATGTCAGCCAGCTTTGTAAATTTCACATACATTATCTGTAAACATATTTCACAAAACTAATCAGAAAGTGAAGACTATTAGGCTATAATTTCTTTCCTTTTTTTTCTTCTTCTTTTTTTTTTAAAGATTTATTTATTTATTTACGCAGAGAGAGAAGGAGAGGCAAAGAGAGAGAGGTCTTCGTTTGCTGGTTCATTTCCCAATTGGCTGCAATGGCTGGAGCTGCGCCAATCAGGAGCCAGGAGCTTCTTCTGGGTCTCTCACGTGTTGCAGGGGCCCAAGCACTTGGGCCATCTGCTGCTGATTTCCCAGACCTTAGCAGAGAGAGAGCGGGATCAGAAGTGGAGCAGCTGGGTCTCAAACCAGTGCCCATATGGGATGCTGGCCTTGCAGGCCGTGGCTTTACCCGCTATGCCACAGCACTAGCCCCTATATATACTTTTTTAAGATTTATTTATTTATTTGACAGGCAGGGTTACAGAGAGGGAGAAACTGAGAGAGAGGTCTTCCATCCTCTGTTTCACTCCCCAAATGGCCGCAATGGCTGGAGCTGAGCCGAACTGAAACTAGGAGCCAGGAGCTTCTTCAGGTTTTCCCATGCGGGTGCAGGGGCGCAAGAACTTGGGCCATCTTCCTCTGCTTTCCCAAGGATGTTATCAGGGAGCTGGATTGGAATCCACGCCAGTATGGGATGCCAGCTTAACTCACTATGCCACAGTGCTAGTCCTTAGGCTATACTTCCTGACAACAAATTCTGTATTTTTGCCAATAGATAAGAATATGTAATTTAAGCACTGCTTTAAAGAATGCAAAATTAATAATACTTTTTCTGAAACTCTTAGTTTGATAAAGTTTTGCTTCTTGGCCATAATGTAGTAAAACATGGGAGAATTGTATGAGATGATGATACTTACGACTATATATAGGGCTGGCATTGCGGCTCACTTGGCTAATCCTCCGCCTGTGGCGCCGGCACACAGGGTTCTAGTCCTGGTTGGGGCGCCGGATTCTGTCCCGGTTGCCCCTCTTCCAGTCCAGCTCTCTGCTGTGGCCCGGGAGTGCAGTGGAGGATGGCCCAAGTGGTTCACTCCCCAGATGATTGCAATGACCATGGCTAAGCCAGGCCAAAGCCAGTAGTCAGGAACTTCATTCAGGTCTCACACATGGGTGCAGGGGCCCAAGGATTTGGTTCACCTTCTGCTGCCTTCCTAAGCAAACTAGCAGGAAGCTGGATCGGAAGGAGAGCTGAATGGAACGTGGACCACTACCCATATGGGATGCAGGCATTGCAGGTGGTAGCTTAACCATTAAGCTACAGTCCTGACCCTGATCTGCACTGTAGCCTTTAAAAATTGCTAGTTGAGATCCAGTACATTTTTTCAACCCAGTAAACTGATATGAACACTTGCAGTTGGAAAAATATCAGAGTAGCTTCCTTAGCATTCAGAGTACAGTGGTAACAGTGGCTGTTTTAGAAGGATAGAGAGTGTTGGCTTGTCTAGTATATATGTGTGTGTGTGTGTGTATACATATATATATTTATATATATATTGACAGGCAGAGTTAGACAGTGAGAGAGAGAGACAGAGAGAAAGGTCTTCCTTTTTTCCATTAGTTCACCCCCCCAAATGGCTGCTACGGCCGGCGCGCTCCAGTCCAAAGCCAGGAGCCAGGTGCTTCCTCCTGGTCTCCCATGCGGGTGCAGGGCCCAAACACTTGGGCCATCCTCCATTGCCTTCCTGGGCCACAGCAGAGAGCTATACTGGAAGAGGAGCAACTGGGACAGAATCCGGCACCCCAACCGGGACTAGCATCTGGGTGCTGGCGCTGCAGGCAGAGAATTAGCCAAGTGAGCCACAGCGCCGGCCCAGTATATATATATTTTTACTAAGTTGATTTTGGCTTATTTTACTTTTCTGTTAATTACACTTGAGTCTTTCAAAAATTTGAAATGATTCAACATTTACATTGTATTTTTTTTACTTGGCAAAGGGATAACTTGATGAATTCTACAAAATTCAGTTTAATGATATATTTTCTAATTTGTTATCCCCTTAGGAAAAAATGGAACATGGAAAACTGATTTGGTTAATTTTTACTTTTCACAATTTATTTTTTTCTTTTTATTCCTGAAAGCCATGAAAACAAAGCAACCCCCTATCTTCACTGTATTAATAAATCGAGATGAACATAGTATTGCCACAGTAGCATCATTCCTTGTCTCTGTAGTAGATAAGTCTAAAGAAATGAGCATTTTTTGTTGTTTTGCAAGCTTTGGGATTGTATTTTGGAAGGGAGAATCACTGAATCAAAACTACTGTGAAAACTAAAGTGTTTTGGCAAACTTTGACTAATTTAATACTAAAGCCTCCAAGACTTTACAAATTTGTTTGTCCTTTAGCAGTTGTATACATTGCATGCTATTTGCCAAGCATTGTAAGAGGTGCTAGTGATTCTCTTGGGTATAAGACACAGCTGTTTAGCAGAGGAAACAAACATAAAATGAGTAAGTACACTAGTAATTAGTAATGATCCATGCTGTGAAGGATCATCACAGGGTGTTATGAGAATATAGTCTTTTGCAATGTTTTACTTAATCTTACAAATCAGACTTGAAGACTGAAATAATCATTTTTTCAAAATACTTAATAAAGTGAACAAGTCAATGTGTGGTGTGCCTAGTCTGCATAAGCAATGGCAGTAAATATTAAGTAACTCACAGTTGCATATATTCCTGTATTTTTAATTCCTAACTATTTTTGTATTGCCAATATTTGATTCTGCTATTGCAGAAAGATGGCATTTTGTTATATTTGAAAATTTAAAGGTGCATTGGATCCTGCTGATTTGTTGGATTCTGCTAAATTATAGCAGTACAACTCTCAGGTTTTGTAGTTAAGAGCATAAATCCACTGAATAAAAATATTTTAATATAAAAATATGGAATTAGAGTAACTCTCGTTTTTCCTGCTCAAAATTTGATTTGCTGAAGCTGCCTCCTGAAAATCATGGGTATCGACACTCTGGTCAGAACTTGCTTCGGACTCTCATATGGCAGAATCAGGTCAGGTGGCAGTATCAGGTAAAGGGAAACAAGAAACACATTGTTTCCTCCCTACTCCCTCTTTTTTTTTTTTTTTCTTTTCTTTTTTTTTTTCCCTAAAGATTTATTTTATTTATTTGAAAGGCAGAGTTAGAGAGAGAATGAGAGAGAGAAAGAGAGAGATCTTCTGTCAGCTGGTTCACTCCCCAAATAATCATAATGGGTTGGGTAGGCCAGGGCAAAGCTGGGAGCATGGAACTCCATCCCAGTCACCCACATGGGTGGCAGGAACCCAAGGGGATTTCGGCCATCTTCAGCTTTCCCAGGCCCCTTAGCAGGGAATTGAATTAAAAATGAAACAACTGAAACTCGAACCAGTACTCTTGTGGGATGCTTCCATCGTAGGCAGCAGCTTAACACTCTGCACAACACCGCCGGCCACTCCTTTTTCTTGAAAATATTGTTTTTAAAAAGTTGATTTATTTGAAAGCCAGAGTGATAGAACTCTTCCATCTGCTAGATCGCTCCCCAAATGGCTGTAGCGTCCAGGGCCCTGGCTGAGGCCGGGAGCCAAAATTCCGTCTGGATCTCCATGTGGATGGCAGGGGCCCAAGTGCTTAGGCCATCATCTGATGCTTTCCCAGGCACATCAGTGGGGAGCTGGATCAGAAGCAGAGGAGCTGGGACTCAGACTGGCACTCAAATATGGAATGCTAGCATCACAAACAGTGACTTAATCTACTGCACCACAATGCTGGCCCTTCTTCAAAACATTTATTAAGGAAAGACAGAAAATGACCAGGTCAAAGAGAAGTACATAAGATGCTGGGATTCTTGGTCCACAAAGTTAATTGAGTTTTGTAATTTAAAAAAGCCTTTAGAATTACAGTGCAGTTAATGCAAAAAATCAGAAAAGGAAGAGAAAAATTATACAAGTACCAGGACAGAACAAAAAAGGCAGAAAATAAGAGAGCACATCAGATGATCGCCATAAATATGAATTAATTGTTTCCTTAGTAAAAAATTAATTGAATGTCACTCATTTAGATACAGAGGGATAACTTAGAAAGAAGATTGCCCAATTTGTGAGTTGGGAGAACACATGATAGGAATTCTTAAGGAACCTGATAGAATGTACATTAAAGTAGGTAAAGCATCAGTTTTACACAAATTAGGTGTTATTCATTTGTTTTACAAATATGTTGCTGTTTTATACTCTAGAGATGATTTTTAAAATTTTTGATTATTAAAGTGAATTATAAGCACTCTGAGGACTACATTATGTGTGAGCATAGTTTACTTTGAAATAGTATCTTTCCAAGGTGTTTGCATCATACCTTTCATTTTTGCATCTCTAAATATTGTTTGCTGATTTTAGAATAAATTTTTGGCATATTGAGTGTATGTGGAAAAAGATAACATTACCTGCTATGTTAGTAGAAAACGACTTGAGCATAGTAGGTGGTCAGTAAATAGAATAAATAAGTAGCAATCAAAATCCATTTTTAAATGGAATCAACTGATCTTGCTCTCCTCATTTTCTAGGAACATTAAAAGTTTGTCAGATATCCAGATCGTACAAGTTGCTTGCGGTTATTATCATTCACTTGCACTTTCTAAAGGTAAGTCCTCTCCCCTCCCCTCCCCTCCCTCCCTCTTCCCTCCCCTCTCCCTCTCTCCCCTCTCTCCTCTTACCCTCTCCCCTCTCCCCTCTCCCCTCCCTCCCCTCCCCTCCCCCTCCCCTCTCTTCCGCTTTCTTCTTCAGTTTTACAACTTAGTACTTTAATTGAGCAGAAAATCCTCTAACTTTATGGTTCTTTTTCCAAGATTGTCCTGGTTCTTCTTCTTTCTCTTCTTTATTTATTTGAAAGTCAGAGTTACAGAGACAGAGAGATAGATCTCTCATCTGCTCATTCACTTGCCAAATGACTGTAATACCCAGGGCTGGGCCATGCCAAAGCCAGGATCCAGGAGCCTCTTCCAGGTCTACCACAAAGGTGGCAGGGACTCAAGTAATTGGGCCGTCTTCTGCTGCTTTCCTAGGTCATTGGCAGGGAACTTGATCAGAAGTGGTGCAGCTGGGACTTGAGCTGTGGTGCCCACATGGGTGGTCTTTACTCACTGTGCTACAACACTTGCCCCTATGCTGTATGATTTTTATCGTTTTTATTTCCATATAAATTGTAGAATTAGCTTCTCAGTTTTCACATACATACAAATAAACTTCTGGGATTTGATTTGGGATTGCCTTGTCTAAATATGTGTGGAAAATCTTCTACCAGTAGCAAGTCTTTGAATTATTACACTCTGATTTAAAATTTTGTTTTCTTCATTTGAGAGAGAGGAAAAAAAAAATCTCCCAAGCACTGATCGACTCCTCAGATGCTCACCACAGCTATACCTGGGCTGGGCTGAAGTCAAAAGACAGGAATTCAGTCCAGGTCTCCCATGTGGGTTGCAGGAGTCATCACCTGCCGTTCTTCCAGGTACACGTTAGCAGAAAGGTGGAATTAGAAATAGAGCTGGGACTTGAACCTAGGCATTCCAGTATGGTATGTGGGCATTCCAAGCAGCTCCCTAATCACTATGGTAAATGCCTTACCTGAGTATTTTAATTGCTGAACATGGTTTAGCTCTCCATTTATTTAAGTCTCCTTTTGATTTTTCTCATTAGAATTTTGTTTCATATGGAGACATTTACATGTCATCTGTTAGATTTTTTTCCCTAGATATTTGATTTTTCTGTTGTGAGTGGTGTCATTTTTGTTTATTATATACACATAAAGTTAATTTTTCCATCTCATTTTTCACTTAACAGTTAAAAGGTGTTCCTTCATATGTGAGGAAGATTGCTTCCTCAGTCTCATTTAATCTTACAGATAAACTTAGGAATAAAACAATAGGTGGCTAGGGGGCTGGTGTTGTGATGTAGCGTAGTGGGTAAAGCCGCCACTTGCAGTGCCAGTATCCCATATGGGCACCGTTTGAGTCCCGGCTGTTCCTCTTCCAATCCAGCTTTCTGCTATGGCCTGGGAAAGCAGTAGAAGATGGCCTAAGTCTTCGGGCTCCTGCACCCACGTGGGAGAGCCAGAAGAAGCTCCTGGCTCCTGGCTTTGGATTGGCTCAGATTTAGGGAGTGAACCAGCGGATGGAAGACTTCTCTCTCTGTATAACTCTTTCAAGTAAATAAATAAATCTTAAAAAAAAAAAAAAAAGACAGTAGGTGGCTTAATATGAAATTAATATGAAATTAGCTTTGCTTGCATTTTTTTTTTTTTTTTTTTGACAGGCAGAGTGGACAGTGAGAGAGAGAGACAGAGAGAAAGGTCTTCCTTTTGCTGTTGGTTCACCCTCCAATGGCCACCGTGGCCAGCACGCTGCGGCCGGCACACCACGCTGATCCGAAGGCAGGAGCCAGGTGCTTATCCTGGTCTCCCATGGGGTGCAGGGCCCAAGCACTTGGGCCATCCTCTACTGCACTCCTTGGCCACAGCAGAGAGCTGGCCTGGAAGAGGGGCAACCGAGACAGAATCTGGCACCCTGGCCGGGACTAGAACCCGGTGTGCCGGTGCCGCAAGGCGGAGGATTAGCCTAGTGAGCCGTGGCGCTGGCTTTGCTTGCATTTTATCTCTTACTGATTTAACTTTCTCAGACGTCAGCTAAAGATTAAAACATGGGTTAGTAAGGAACATGCCATGTATTTGTTTTTACCATTAAGATAATGTTTCAATGACTCCATTATAACTATTATTTTATTTCAGTAAGTGTTAAGTGAGGCCTACTATGACTAAAACACTAGGCTAGAACTGTGGAGGAGACAGATAAATTAAGAGACAGTTTTAGGGACCATACAGTTTAATAGAAGAGGCAGATGTTCAAATAACTAACTAGCTTAAAGCAGAAAAAAGTACAATTTGAGAGGGACACACACACACAGAAAAAAATACACAAATACACAGAGTGAATGAGCTCACATCTGCTGGTTCATTCCCTAAATGCCCCTAATAGCTATGATTGGACTGAGGTCAGAACCAGGAGCCAGGAATACAATCCAGGTCTCCCACACAGGTGACAGGAACCCAGTTACTTGAGCCATCACTGGTGCCTCCCTGGTCTGCATTGGCGAAAAGCTGGAGTTAGGAACTGGAGCTGGTAGTTAAACTCAGGCATTCTAGTGCGGGACACAGGTGTCTTAACCACAAGCCAAACAAATGCCTGCTCCCCAGATACATACTGTTTGGGTAAAAGTAAAAGTAAAAAGTTGTAAGAATTCGAATTGATAGAATTTAGAACATGGGTGCTGGTGCTGTGGTGTAGTGGGTTGTACTGCCACCTGCTAGGCTGGCATCCCATATAGGTGCTGCTTTGATTCCTGGCTGCTGTACTTCCAATCCAGCTTCCTTCTAATGCACCTAGGAAAGTAGTGGAAGATGGCTCAACTGTCTGGGCCCCTGCATGCATGTGGGAGACCTGAATGAAGCTCCTGGCTCCTGGCTTTGGTCTAGCTCAGTCCCAGCCATTGTGACCACTTGGGGAGCGAACCAGTGGATGAAAGATCTCTCTATCTCTACCCCGCTCTCTCTGTAACACTGCCTTTCAAATTATATACATATGTATGTAATATATATATATATATATATGTAAAGAGTGGTTGCCTCTTGGAAGAACCGTGAATTTGTTTTTGGAAGGGAGCTTTTTAAATTAAAAGCAAAAATTTATTTATTTTGTTTTTTATTTGAAAGAAAGAGTGAGCTCCTTTTGTTGTTTTATTCCCCTAATTCCTGCAGCTGGTAGCAGGAGCCATTATCTGCTATTTCCTAGGGTCTGCCCTGACAGTAAACTGGAATTGGAATCCGAAGCCTGGTTTAAATGCAGGAACTCCTATGGCAGACACAGGCATCATAGCTGCTATGTTAAATGCCCACCCCTGGGAAGGTTGCTGTTTTTTTTGTTTGCTTTAAAGATTTATTTATTTATCTGAAAGGCAGAATAACAGATTGAAGGAGAGAGACAGAGATATCTTCCATTTGCTGATTCACTCTTCAAATGGCTGAGGTTGGTCCAGGTTGAAGGCAGGAGCCTAGAACTCCATCAGGGTGTCCATGCGGGTAAAAGAGGCCTAAATTTTGGGGCTATTATCCACTGGTTTCGCAGGTAGGTTAGCAGGGCGTTGGGTCCAAAGCAGGGCAGCCAGGACTTGAACTAGCACTCTAAAATGGGATGCCATTGTTGGAAATGTTGGCTTAACGTGCTGTGCCACAGTGGCAGCCCCAAAGCTTACTTTTAAATGTATTATTTTGTAGTATGAATTCTATTTTTTTTTTTTTTTTTTTTGACAGGCAGAGTTAGAGAGACAGAAAGGTCTTCCTTTTTCCATTGGTTCACCCCCCAAGTGGCCGGTATGGCCGGTGTGTTACGGCCAGTGTGTTACAGCTGGTGCGCTGCGCCTGTCCGAAGCCAGGAGCCAGGTGTTTCCTCCTGGTCTCTCATGTGGGTGCAGGGCCCAAAGACTTGGGCCATCCTCCACTGCACTCCCGGGCCACAGCAGAGAGCTGAACTGGAAGAGGAGCAACTGGGACAGAATCCGGCGCCCCAACTGGGACTAGAACCCGGGGTGCCGGTGTTGCAGGTGGAGGATTAGCCTAGTGAACTGTGGCGCTGGCCCGTAGTATGAATTCTTAAAAAATATTTGTTACTAGTTTAATGCCAGTTGATTTAATAAGAGTAAGTAAAAAGATGAAGATGTCTGGAGTTGCAAAAGAGTGGCAGTAAGAAGCAGAAGTGACAGGGGGAACTATTATGGCAACCAGTAAGATAGTGACGAATGAATTGATTTGTCTTTGCTTTTGAAAGAAAATTGTATATATAATTTGGTGATTGGATGCATATGAGGTAAGGGGAGAGGGATCTATTAATTATGACTCCATGGACTTATGACTTGTGGTACTGAATGCCATTTACCAAAATGAGGAACACTAGAAAGAGGTCCAGATATGGTAGGTAGGCTAGGTATTATGATTTCACTTCTGTGTATGCTGAATTTGAATTGCCTTTGTAATAGCTATATGTAGATACCACGTAAACTGAGTTTTGTGAGTTTATTGAAGAGAAGTATGGCCTAGTGATACAATTTTGAATGTGCTCAACATACAGTTAATAGCTTAAGCCTCCAGCTTGGATACGTGTCTCTTAGGAGTAATTATAGAATATGGAATTGTGGGTTACCTGTAGTTATGTGACTCACTCATTCATCAGTGTAGTCAAACTTAAAATGTGGTAGTACAGAGTGTTTTTCTAGCTGTTGTTTCCATTTAAGAAGTACACTTGGCTGGTGATGCAGCTCACTTGGCTAGTCCTCTGCCTGTGGTGCCGGCACCCTGGGTTCTAGTCCTAGTTGGGGTGCCGGATTCTGTCCCAGTTGCTCCTTTTCCAGTCCAGCTCTCTGCTGTGGCCCAGGAAGGCAGTGGAGGATGGCTCAAGTGCTTGGGCCCTGCATCCGCATGGGAGACCAGGAGGAAGCACCTGGCTCCTGACTTTGGATCATTGGAGCGCCGGCCGTGGTGGCCATTTGGGGGGTGAACCAATGGAAGGAAGACCTTTCTCTCTGTCTCTCTTTCTCACTGTCTAACTCTGCCTGTCCAAAAAAAAAAAGTACACTTAATTGCCAAGCAGAGTCTTTTTTCATGTAGTGAGAGGAAGAATCTCCCAGAATAGATCATCAAATAATTTTTTGTGTGTGTGAGAAAAATAGTTAATTTTATGATTTTTGTTTTACAGCAAGTGAAGTCTTCTGTTGGGGACAGAATAAATATGGCCAGTTGGGTTTAGGCATTGACTGTAAAAAGCAAACTTCACCTCAGCTGATTAAGTCTTTGCTCGGAATCCCTTTCATGCAAGTTGCTGCAGGAGGAGCCCATAGTTTTGTACTCACTCTTTCTGGAGCTATCTTTGGATGGGGACGCAACAAATTTGGTCAACTGGGTCTTAATGATGAAAATGGTAGGTTCTCATTATTTATAGTTCAAAATGTATTTTAAAAAGGGGTGATATTTGAGATGTGTTAGTTATCCTTCTGTATCAGAGATACACCCATAGCTTTGTTGGTAGAGAGGTGGTGATGAGATGTTAATTTAAAAATTTAATTTGCTGATCAGATTTTAAGGGATGGTGGACAAAATCTTTATTGTTGGGTATTCATTAAAAGATAATCTGAGTATCTTTAAAATTGGTAACTAGTGTTGTTCCATTATTGGCTACCATCCGTGGGTGGAAAAAAAAAAAAGCTGTGAAACTATTCTAAGCAAGTTTTGAAGCATTAATTGATTTGATTTTTTTCAGGGAAATATTTAAATGATGTCATATGTTAAACTAATCTTTGGTTGTTCTAAGAGTGATGTTAGAGTCTTGAAAATAACATTTTGAATTTTAAAGATTTATGACTACTTGAAACATTGGCATCTTGAAATTTATTTTTTATAATTATGTTAGGTTGAATGCCAATATTAGACCTATAAAAACTCATTTTGTAAAGTTGAACATAATTGCAGTGACTACAACAGACAAAAGTGAATTGTTTATCTAGTAACAACTGATTCTCAGAAAGAATGAAAGAATTTTTTTTCATGTAAGAAAACTGCCAGTGGTGTGTTAGGATAATATGTGTCTCCTCTGCCACAAAATACCAGAAAGTATAAATTTTAGACTTTTAAGTAGGATCTGTGAGCGTAATAATAATCACAGAGTCAGAAGAATGATGTGAATATAGGGAAAATTAGAAGCAGTTAGATTTGAAATTCCTTAATTGATGGGTCCTGTGCAGATTGGCATTTAGACTGTTAAAACTTAACTCTTCTTTACTTTCTCCTTTATTACAATAGTTTGATAGGTAGGCCTGGAAACCCAACTTAGGCGTGAGCCAAAAAAACTAATGAGTGACAATTTTAGTTACTGCTGCCTACTGAGCTTAGGAAGCCATAGAGGAAACAGATTTTAGAAGAGTTTTAATTAAAAAAATACTGTTAATGTCTCTTGTTGGAATTTTCAGATAGATATGTTCCTAATTTACTAAAGTCACTAAGATCTCAGAAAATAGTTTATATTTGTTGTGGAGAAGACCATACTGCTGCACTCACCAAGGTATTGTACTTCTAAAACTTTGTTATTATTACCTATAATGGTTATTTGATAATTAGTAAATGTTTTCATATTTACATTAAAGCTTTATAATGTTATTGCTGTTTGAAAAATAATTTGGAAAAAATCCCTACATTACTATTTACTCTTGAAAATAATTTAACTTAATTTTCACCTTTATATGTAATGTGAATTGTCATATTATGTTATATATTGAGTGTCTTAGCTTCATATGAAATACCACTTATATTTTTAATAACATTCCCATTTTGATTCATCAGGCTTGCCATTATGCCTAGATCTCATTTATGTTACATAGCTTTGAGTAATTTGAGTTTATAATTGTGCTTTTTTTTTTTTTAATTTGACAGGTAGAGATATAGATAGAGAGAGAGAGAAAGAGACAGAGAGAAATGTCTTCCTTCCGCTGGTTCACTCCCCAAATGGCCACTACGGCTGGCGCTGTGCCAATCTGAAGCCAGGAGCCAGGTGCTTCTTCCTGGTCTCCCATTGGGCCATTCTCCTCTGCCCTCCTGGGCCGCAGCAGAGAGCTGGACTGGAAGAGGAGCAGCCGGGACTAGAACCTGGCACCTATATGGGATGCCTGCGCCGCAAGGTGGAGGATTAACAAAGTGAGCCTTGGCGCCAGCCCTTATAATTGTACTTTTAAAATTCTGAACTCTTATTCCCATGTTGGGAAGTTTAGCAGGACAAGAATTATTTTTAGTCATTGTGAGATTTAGTGATGAACTCAAGGCATTTATAAAAACATAACCTGTTATAAAATATACATTTTAAATATTTTATACTCCTTGCCTTTTTAGTAAAGAAATTTTACTATACCTGCTATTATTACTATATTTTATTGATTTTAACATTCACATTATAAATGTGATTACTAAAGTCTTATTAAATAATGGCAAGTTACAAATTTTAGTCATTTTCTTCAGTAGTAAGTATTTGAAAAAATAAGGCTATGTAGAAATAATAGTAAAAACTGTTTCAAAATAGAAAAATATTCTGTATGATATCTAATTTTCTATGATCAACTACTTTCTTGATAGAAAGACTAACAATGCTTTTCAAATTCAGCCTTTTAAATAATTACTCATCTTAATTTTTTATTTTTAAAATTTGTTTTTTTTTTTTGCTTTTATTTAATAAATATAAATTTCATTGATGCAGTTTTAGGAATACAGTGGTTCTTTCCTCTATACCTACCCTCCCACCTCCTATTCCCTCTCCCATCCCATTCTTAATTCAGATTCATTTTTAATTATATATAGAAGATCAAGTCTATACTAAGTAAAGATTTCAACAATTTGTACCTACACAGACACACAAAGTATAAAGTACTGTTTGAATACTAGTTTTACTGTTAATTCTCTTAGTACAACTCATTAAAGACAGGGACTTACATGGGGAGTAAGTGTGCAGTGACTCCTGTTGTCGGTTTAAGAATTGACACTCTTATTTATGATGTCAGTGATCACCTGAGGCTCTTAACATGAGCTGCCAAGGCTATGGAAGCCTTTTGAGTCCGCAAACTGTGACATTATTCAGATAGGGCCATAATCAAAGTGGAAGTTCTCTCCTCCCTTCAGAGAAAAATACCTCCTTCTTTGATGGGCCCCTTCTTTCCACTAAGATCTCATTCACAGACATCCTTTATGTAGATTATTTTTTGCCACAGTGTCTTGGCCCTCCATGCCTGAAATGATCTTATGGGCTTTTTAGCCAGATCGGAATGCCTTAAGGGCTGATTCTGAGGTCAGAGTGCTGTTTAAGGTGTTTGTCATTCTATGGGTCTGCTATGTGTCCTGCTTCCCATGTTGGATTGTTTGCTCCTTTTTAATTCCGTCTATTGTTATTAGCAGACACTTGATCTTATTTATGTGATCCCTTTGAAACTTATTCCAATCTGTATGATCAGTTACACACTTAAAATGATCACTTTAACATGTAAGATGGCATTAGTACCACCCAGCTTAAAGGGATTTGGAGTCCCATGGCAAGTTTTTAACTTTACTGTTAATGGTAAGTCTGTGGGAATATGTGCTGAACTGTGTATCTCCTTCCTCTCTATTCTCTTATTTTTTACTGGGATCCATTTTCAGTTGGATTTAAACACCTATGAAGAATTCTGTGTTAAGTAGAGAGTTCAACCAGTGGTATTAAGTAAAAAAAAGAAAATAAAAAATCTTAATTTTTTTTTTAATTTTTTAAATTTTTTGACAGGCAGAGTGGACAGTGAGAGAGAGAGAGAGACAGAGAGAAAGGTCTTCCTTTTGCCATTGGTTCACCCTCCAATGGCCGCTGTGGCCGGCGCACCGCACTGATCTGATGGCAGGAGCCAGGTACTTATCCTGGTCTCCCATGGGGTGCAGGGCCCAAGCAATTGGGCCATCCTCCACTGCACTCCCTGGCCACAGCAGAGAGCTGGCCTGGAAGAGGGGCAACCGAGACAGAATCCGGCACCCCGACCGGGACTAGAAACTGGTGTGCTGGCGCTGCTAGGTGGAGGATTAGCCTAGTGAGCTGTGGCGCCAGCTCAAAATCTTAATTTTTAAAATATATTTTTATTTATGAGGCAAAGAGAGACACACACAGGGAGAGATAGAGTGTGCTGGTTCCCATCTGTTGTTCATTCTCCAGATGACTCGCATGGCAAGAGGCTGGGTCACCTGGAGCCAGGGGCCAGAAACTCAATCCAGGTCTCACATGGAACCTATTACTTTTTGAACCTTCAGTACTACTTCCCAAGTCTGCATTAGTGGGTATCGAAACCAGGCATTCTAGTATGGGACATGACTATCTTGACCCATGTCTTTACCACTAGCCAGATAACCACCCTTAGATTCTCATCTTAATGTCATCAGATTAGTATATTGGCTTTTTTAGATGCTGATTATATTGTTTGTACTCCTCTCAGAAGACTGTAGCTGAGAATAATTGATAGCTGGATTTTTTGGTGTACATTGGTTTTAATAAAATCAGATGGTGTTTTTTAGAAAACAATTTGTTGTCCGGCGCCGAGGCTCACTAGACTAATCCTCTGCCTGTGGCGCCGGCACACCAGGTTCTAGTCTCGGTCGGGGCACCGGATTCTGTCCTGGTTGCTCCTCTTCCAGTCCAGTTCTCTGCTGTGGCCCGGGACTGCAGTGGAGGATGGCCCAATTGCTTGGGCCCTGCACCCCATGGGAGACCAGGATAAGTACCTGGCTCCTGCCTTCGGATCAGTGCGGTGCGCTGGCCGCAGCGCACCAGGCGCAGCGGCCGTTGGAGGGTGAACCAACGGCAAAAAGGAAGACCTTTCTCTCTGTCTGTCTCTCTCACTGTCCACTCTGCCTGTCCAAAAAAAAAAAAACAAAAAAAAAAACAAAACAAAACAACCACTTTGTTTATTTGAAAGAGAGATCGATCCTCTGTCTGCTGATTGACTCCTCAAATGACCACAATGGCTGGGGCTGGGCCAGGTCCAAGCCAGGAGCCAGCACCTTTATCCTGGTCTCTCACTTAGATGGCAGGGGCCCAAGCACGTACCCCATGCTCTGCTGCATTTCCAGGCCATTAGCAGAGAGCTGCATTGGAAGTGGAGCAGCTAGGACTCAAACAGGTGCTCATATGGGGTGCCCATGTTGCACGTGTGCTGATCCAACACCTACCTCAATCAGATAGCGTGCAGTTTTTTTTTTTTTTTTAAGATTTATTTGTTTATTTGAAAGAGTTACACAGAGAAGGAGAGTCAAAGAGAGAAAAGGAGAGGTCTTCCATTATCTGGCTCACTCGCCAATTGGCTGTAATGGCCAGAGCTGCACAGATCCAAAGCCAAGAGCCAGGAGCTTCCTCCAAGTCTCCATGCGGGTACAGGTGCCCAAGAACTTGGACCATCTTCTACTGCTTTCCCAGGCCTTAGAGAGCTGGAATGGAACTGGAGCAGCCAGGACTTCAATGGGAGTTCTTATGGGATGCTAGCACTGAACGAAGTGGCTTTACCCACTAGGCCATACCGCCGGCTCCTTTTATAAAGATCAGATTTTAAAAATAAGATATTTTCTTTTAAGTTAGAATATAATCCATATCCATATACCTTTTGCTTTTCTGAAAATATTTCTTTGAAGCAGATTAGGTGTGCTTTGTGAAACATATTCTTTGTGTAAAACCCATTAGAAAATCTATACACATATGCAGACACAGACTCATAAACATTAGAAACAGGAGGTGAGTTAAGTGGTTCAGACTGACTTGCCCGTGTCCCACTTCCAAACACCTGATTTCTTTCTCTTTTTTTTGCTTTTATTCAATAAGTACAAATTTCATAGATAACAGCTTTAGGAATACAGTGGTTCTTCCCTCTATACCCGCCCTCCCACCCCCACTCTCGTCCCACCACCTGCTCCCTCTCCCATCAAATTGCTAAGATTCTTTTTTTTTTTTTTTTTTTTGACAGAGTGGACAGTGAGAGAGAGAGACAGAGAGAAAGGTCTTCCTTTTGCCGTTGGTTCACCCTTCAGTGGCCGCCGCGGCCAGCACGCTGCTGCCGGTGCACTGCGCTGATCCGATGGCAGGAGCCAGGTACTTCTCCTGGTCTCCCATGGGGTGCAGGGCCCAAGCACTTGGGCCATCCTCCACTGTACTCCCTGGCCACAGCAGAGAACTGGCCTGGAAGGGGGGCAACCGGGACAGAATCCGGCGCCCTGACCGGGACTAGAACCCGGTGTTCCGGCGCCGCAAGGTGGAGGATTAGCCTAGTGAGCCGTGGCGCCGGCAAGATTCATTTTTAATTATTTTTATATACAGAAGATCAACTCTAAGGAAAGATTTCAACAGTTTGCACCTACACAGACACACAAAGTATAAAGTACTGTTTGAAGATAAGTTTTACTGTTAATTCTCATAGTACAACTCATTAAGGACAGAGGACCTACATGGGGAGTAAGTGCACAGTGACTCCTGTTGTTGATTTAACAATTGACACTCTCATGTATGATGTCAGTGATCAC